TGGTACTCTTTACCTCAGTAATTCTACTTCTGCAAACAATCTACTAAATAATTTGAACTGTCAATGCGACTCCATAATTGTACAGTAAAAAAATTTTGAAATGCTTTAAACATCGAAAAAAGGAATAATCTTTTTTAAAAAAATGCATTCATTAAAAAGTATCTTTATCAAGGATTCACGAGAGTGGGAGAGAGGGAAAAAAAGAGGAGCTGATACCAAGGGCTCAAGTAGAAAGCAAATGTTTTGAGGATGAGGGCAACAAATGTACAAATGTGCTTGACACAATGGATGGATTGTGATGAGTTGTACGAGCCCCCAATAAAATGATTTATTTTTAAAGAATTTTTTTTTTTTACAACTGGACAAATGTTTATATACAACGTGAAGTGAAGCGATCAGGATATACGGTATTCTATTTGGTATCATCACAATCATGTAGAACACACACACACACACACACACACACACACACACACAGTGGGAGGAATAAAAGGAAGTCACCAAGGCACTAAACATTGTTAATAATTCCTATCCTCACAAAGATGGGAATCTATTTTATCTTTATGCTTTTATTTAATTCCCAAGTAATGGGTATTTTAAAATCTACCTATTTATTGCAGGGAATGTATTTTCATCAGGGATGAACATTGGATGCTTACCACTGACTGTGAAGATGCCAACCACTGTTCTAAGAATTTAGTAACTCCATATGGAAGTCTTTAATCAACCTTCTGAGGATAGACTAGGACGGTCCCCATTTTATAACCAAGGATCCCAAGGCCGGCTACTGAATTCAAGAGGTGAGTTTCAAACCTTACTCCAGAGGCTCCGTAAGCCTCATGTGACACAAGATTGGGTTATCCTGACACATCAGGTATGCTAACACACAAACGGGGCGAGAGAGAGCGAGAGAGAGAGAGCAAGAGAGAGAGAGCGCGCGCCCAGTTTGGCTGGTTAACATGTTTCAACAACTGAACAAATTCAGTGTTATCAACATACACACTCAAGAAAAAAAAAAGATCACTGTTTAGGAAGCAATGAATTTCCATTTACGATGGTTATAGGTGACAGTTGCACAAGACAATCAGTAACTGGCAATACTAAATTACACCTGTACAATGCTGAGTTGGCAAAAATATTTTAATGCCAATAAAAAGTTACGTATTAAAAAAGAGAAAAAGCCAGTGTTACATCCACAAAGAACTTCCTTCACTGAAGCTACTGTCTCCTATATAGTTAAAAGCAGCATGGTTGTCAACCGAGTTAAAACACACATACACAAACACACACAGTGAAAGGAACTTGCCGATGCGCCTTTAAAATGCGATCAAGATAACCAACTTACTTCTTGTGTGATTGGAGGCCGGAACTGTTTGTGTAGTTCAATAATTATTCTTAAACAAATAAGAACATTTTCTTCATTTTCCGTCTTCAAAAAAGGAAAAAGGGGGGCATTTTAAAAAAAGAGTTACACTCTTTGGAATGTATTTTCAACTAAACATCAAAGATTCATTTTCTAAGCACTTTCTGCAGTCTTCCCCCCTCAGCCAGCCCGCATCTGGCGCAGTATCAGTTGAGCATGTCTCACGCCACAGGACAGAGCTGTCTCAGAGCGGAGGTCTCCGTGATGCTCAAAGTACCAGCTGACCAGCATATGCACAGCAAAGCCAAGGTCTTAATGAGCTCACTAACACTTCACTGCTTGGAAATACTGCTACCTGAACAGCAAAGAGTCAGCATTTACTGAGCACCCCCATGTCCTGGGCACTGTGCTAAGCAATGTATAAGCATGGTCCATACAACACCATCTGTGCAGGTTCAACCACATATACATACACGTTCATGGTCCCAAGCCCGAAAAGAATAATAAAGAATTATTATACCAAAATACCATCATTACTACTATTACTACTGGCTATTGAGTCTAGCTGGCCCCCTGCAGAAAAGGCAGTGCTTCCGTACAGACTGACCGTCTTGGAAAATCTGCCCTGTAGGTTACTAAGAGTTGGAATGCCTTGATAGCAATGGGTTAGGTTTCCTATTATCTGAAAGATGCTTCAGTGTCTCGTTTTACTGTTTTAGCACAGAGCTACATAGCAAAACACAAATTGACTACAAGCCATAGGTATTTAGACTTACAAATTTGTCTTAAAGACAGATGTAGGAACTGAACTCGTTCATAATCTGGAGCGACTGTATACAATAGGACTTTTGTACAACATTCACATCGCATAACACCTTATTTCATAGAACACATCGCAGACGCTGAGGGATTGTACTTTGTGAGCGGGTGGTGCCATCCACATTCTACCCATGGGGACACTGAGCTTTAGAGAAGTTGGGCAGCTTGGGTAATATGATGTGGACAATAAAGATCAGGATTTGAATCCAAATCTGTCACACAGTTCTCTACAGGAACACAATAAAATTCTATTATTCATCAAGACTAAGGACAGCAAGAAAATAAAACAATACTTGTAGAAGTCAACTCAGTAGGTAACAAAAGAATTCACCCCAAGAATTTGAGAAACTCTTTGTGGGTTTCTATAATATGTACAGTGGGGTAGTGGTGGTTCCATGGAAGAAATCCCCCCATCATGCAGGAGGCCCAGGTTCGATTCCCGGTAAAAGGACCTGATGCAGAGCCACCACTCATCTGTGGGAGGTCTGCTTGTTGCTCTGACACCAAACAGGTTTCAGCAGAACTTCCAACCTAAGTCAAACTAAGAAGAAAGGTTTGGAGATCCAATTCTGGAAGTCAAGCAGTGGACACCCTTGTGGTACACCATAGTCCAATTCTGTTGTGTATACAGGCACGAGTCACAACCACACTATGACTACAGGATTGTGCTTGGTAAACACAAATACAGCATGAAACCCAGAGAACCCTGCACCCACTGTGTTGGTCAACCACTGCCCGTCTCCAAAGGTAACCACCAGGATCCACCAGTGACTTGCTATTCTAACCATCTCCCATTAAGTAATCTCTTAGGCACCAAGTCAAGAGAATTAGCAGAAAGGGGGAGGAGTAGGGGGCACCATGAGACTTCCTACTGATGTGAATCACAACTTTAGCGAAAAGGAAAATAGTTGTGTAACGCAATTTGTGGTAGTTCCATAATTTCATGTCAACTTACACAGATAAAAGTATAGGGGTGGAGTTTAGCCTGTCAATCAGGTCACAGTCTGAAGGTGGCTCCTTGTGGATGTGGCTTTCTCATAAGGGGGACCCTGGGAATCTGCCCACCTACCTCTCTCCGCTTTCACCTTCCTGGTGGCGACGACCCCCTGGTTGCTCCCAGAGCCATTGCTATTGGAACCAAAGGACTTTTGCACCCACCGGCCCGGTGACCTCCCTGCGTTCTGCATCATGGCACGTGGCTGCGTGAGTCTGAAGAGGGACTGATGGACTAGTATCGGACTGATGGGCTTGAGTTGGACCGGCTGGGATAGCTTACTGATGCGTACTGACTCCTTGACATAGGCTCTGTCTTACACCTGAGTGTCACTGGATGTGTTTCTCTAGTCAGCCCCGACTAACACATGGCTTTACAACAACAAATATTTTCCGTTTGGAAAATGGATAAACCACCAGAACGCAACAGAAGGTTACCTCTAAAAATCGAAACATCACTGACAAAACATTTTTTGTGTGAGGACGAAGATGTTCGTTGGTTGGTATTCTATGAATTATTTCAAGTACTAGCTTCCGCAGTTGCTAGGAGGAAAAAAAGAAGTGAAAGATTTTAAAAGTTCCAAGTTCTACACTTAATTTTTTCACATTCTGACATCCTCTAGACCAGTGGTTCTCAACCTTCTTAACAGCCACGCCCTTTAACACAGTTCCTCATGTTGTGGTGACAACACCCGCCCCACCATACAATTATTTTCTTGCTTTCCTTTTTTTTTTTTGAGGGAGTGAGTGAGTGAGTGAATGAGGGTGAGTGAATTAGAGTGAGTGAGAGTAAGTCCATACAATTATTTTCATTGCTACTTCATAACGGTAATTTTGTTACTGTTATAAATTGGGCGACCCCTGTGAAAGGGTTGTTCAACCCCTAAAGGGGTCATGACCCACAGGTTGAGAACCGTTGCTCTAGACTCAGGTATTGGTAGGCAAATAAGATGGATCCTTTTTAAAAGCAGCCCTGTCAACGATTTAAATTCAAAGGCTGTCACAGCAAATTTTTACTCTCAGTATTAGCAAACCCATCAAGCTATCTCCCCTGTCCCTGCTTTTACAGCTTGTCAGCATTTCCCACAGAGGGACACTGGGGTACAAAAGCATCAAATGAACTTGAGATGAAGAAAGTGGAGACTGAAGTTAGTCTGGGCTTGCTCTTCATAATCTGGTTCTCCCCCATAGCTGTCCTCAATGACCTTGGACCTGAGGGCTAATTACCTCATGAGAAGTACCAAGGGTCCATGATTCTGCCTGCAGAGTCAACAACTATAAAAGATCAAAGGGGCAAGAGGGGCTTCCAAAAGTTTATGGAAAAATCCTACTATCTAATCATTCTAATTCTATTTTTCCAAAACTGCTTGAAGGTCTTCCCTCCCCCGAATGTAAGACCTTAAACTGGTACAATATAAAGATGATTTGTTTAGCAAGACACTGTTTCACTGTACTAAGGCAAAATATTAAAAAGCTCTTTTTAGAGATACTCCCTGCACTACTTACAGAAACAAAAGATCTGATGATCTGCTTTAAAATCATTGGTAGGGGTATAATTAAAATTTTTTTAAAAATTGGCTGCAGCTTCTAAGAGCTAAAATGAACAAGATCAGGGAGGCCATGGGTAAGGGAGGATGCGGTGTTAAACTAGCCATCCTTCTGCATTGTGTACGGATGTGTCCACAATAAACACTGACTGTTAGCACACCTCATCAGTCAGCATATATGAATACTTTAAATTATAAAATAGATGCTGAGAAAACCAAGGCCTTTTAAGCTGAGGAGGCAATGGTCTTGGACACAGCTATTTATAAGCCATGGTATCCGGCAAACCCTTTTCGCAAAACTGTCCGTGGAACTGGGTTTGGGTTTTGAGGGCCTTTTCACTCATGAATGCGGACAATCCCACCAAATGACTTTTCCTCAAAGGGCTGTAAAGAGATTACCTGGGCTGGTTTCTCCTGGAGAAACTGTACTTCCCCATCTTGAAGAAAAGTCAGAAACCGAGGGATGATGTGTTCCAGGAATGTAGAATACTGAGGTGATGACGTCACATTCTAATCATGCAAAGATAAGAGAAAAAGCCCCATTTAAGTGAGGTCTGCATTTCCATCTCAAATTCACATCTGCTAAGCTCAAAGGAATATACGGCATCTTAAAATATCCCTTTTAATATTGTCCAGCTGTCTTAGCATGAGTAATCACGGAGTTTTCATAAGTTAGGATGCCTGCTGCTCCTGACATCCCATCTAGGAGAACCAAATGTAGAACGTACCATTCACCAATGGGAATGCCAATGCGGTGAGGACGTGGGGAGTTAAACGCACAGTCATGAGTGACAAGTCGTGAGCCCAGGCATCTGGGGAGTCCTAGGCACAATTCCAGGGGCTCCTCCCCATAGAGTACTATCAAGGGGTGCCCCCAGAAGTTGTGGGACACAACTTAATCATCTCTCCCCAAGTAGCCTCTGAATTCCTTGAGGGCCAGAACTGTGTGAGTCATATCCAGTGCATAAGACTTCTTAATGTAACACCCCATGTTCAAGAAGGCAAAGAAGAGTAGCAGCTTTAGGACTGAAAGATGAACAGGAAAACCAGAGCTTAGGAAGGTTTAAGGGACCGGCGTTCCAGTGTAGCCAGAGTGCAAAGACCTCCGGTCATACCTTGGTAACACCCCAGACATATGGCCATGCAGCGTCCATGCTGTAAGAGTAAAGTCTATTCTAAAGCCCATCCCAAGAAAGCCTAAAATCAAGCTCTGATATGATCCACAGAGAGAGTTCGGAGGTAGAGTCCTACTAAGCTACAGACACGTGGAAAACACCATTGGTTCTTAACCAAGCCTGCCCATGTGCAATGAGATCACTAACACTACACTAGACTGTCTAGTATAAAGAGAGTCAACTTCTTCTGACTGCAAAGTTCCTAAACATTTCCCATACAACATCCACTATACAATGCAAGCAAACAGGAAAAAGAGACCCATGGGCAGTAGAAATTGACTATTGGCTAGCCCAGATGTCAGACTGAAAATGGACCTTTAAACAGCCACTGAATTCCAAAGTCTCTGCCGTGGAGTAGGTGTTAGATGTCGCTGGGACCTTGTGAGTCAGGGTGGAACTGACCCTGTAAATTTCTAAGACCAAACTTGTTTACTGAAGTAGAAAGCCCCATCTTCCTTCCAAGGAGTGGCTGGCAGTTTCAAACTTCAGACGACCTTGGGGATCACAGTCCAACA